TGACAGAGTTAATTTCCTTGCGGAGCCTTGCGGCGAGGAAAAGTGTCGACGACAGCAGAGGCGAGGTTCGCAGCCAAGCCGTCAATCACCGTTTGATTGGAAGGGCTTGTTTGCTCGCTGTGAGGCCGAGCTGTGATGAAATCAAAAAACAAAGCGGAGAGGCCGTGCTGTCCTAGGACAGCACGCTTTGCCGTTGCGCTGCGAGAACAGTTTGGTGTGCTGGGAAAGCTTCCCACATTTCTGTGGTGCTCCCTTGTTGGAAGCGACAACGATTCTGTTGTGCTGATCCCTCCACACAAACAAAACACGGCGAAGCTGCTCGGTGCTGGTTCTGGTGTTAAACCTGCGGGAGCTGAAACGCTTCCACGTTCAGCATCTGGGCTGCAAGATCAGGAAACACACGGATTCCTTTTTATTCAGGAAAACCATGACCGTTTTTTAGTGCTCGGATGCTCTAAATAAATTTTCAGCAGCAACTTTAAAGAGGAGGGAACATCGTTGTTGGCAAAAACACGTCAAAGCTGCAAGAGTTTTCACTGATCTCAAAGACAAAAATAGCTGCAGCTCAATCAGCTTTACAGATATTGTGCTAAAATTCATTATGTAAAAGCCGAGAATCATTCACAAACATGTGCCTGGAGTGTGATGTCTTGCAATATCACAAAATAAATGTGAATATAGTGTTTTCTTTTTTAAAAGTTTGCCTAAAACAATTACAAGTCTGTCATTTTTCAAAAAAAAAAAAAAAGAAAAAAAAACCCTCATGGAACCTGTTGGGTGCATTGTTTTAATTTATGTTAGGCTTTTATTCAAATAAGAAGTTTGCAGTGTGTAATAAGTTACTAAACTATTTAACTATTTGCTTTACTAATAAGCAAATGTTTACGAAGTACTGGAAAATAATGAAGAAAAAGTAGAAATACCTAAACAGAAAATGACTGGTAAAAATTTATTTCACTGATGAAAAGTATTTATGTAAAAAACATAAAACTGCTCACAATAATCAGGAAAATAAAGGTATTTTTACCAAACACTATAATACATGAAATGTTGAATTTGCTTCACTAAGTGATGTCAACTGGTTCCACTAACTCGAGTTGGGGTAATGTAAAGCAATTTATACATCTTTTTTAAAAAGAAAATATTAAAGAAAAATGTGTTAGATGTGAAGCAATTTACATACAGTATTTTCTTTAAAAGCAAATGTGTAAATTGTTCAATTTGCTCAACTCAGTTCATTTTTAGAGTTCTTAAACAACTCCTCTCATGATGAGTTTTGGTCATATTTAATTTTTTTTATTGTGTAACTAGGTGTTCAATTTTAGAGTAAAGAACTACACTCACCGGCCACTTTATTAGGTACACCACACTAGTAATGGGTTGGACCCCCTTTTGCCTTCAGAACTGCCTCAATTCTTCGTGGCATAGATTCAACAAGGTGCTGGAAGCATTCCTCAGAGATTTTGGTCCATATTGACATGATGGCATCACACAGTTGCCGCAGATTTGTCGGCTGCACATCCATGATGCGAATCTCCCGTTCCACCACATCCCAAAGATGCTCTATTGGATTGAGATCTGGTGACTGTGGAGGCCATTTGAGTACAGTGAACTCATTGTCATGTTCAAGAAACCAGTCTGAGATGATTCCAGCTTTATGACATGGCGCATTATCCTGCTGAAAGTAGCCATCAGATGTTGGGTACATTGTGGTCATAAAGGGATGGACATGGTCAGCAACAATACTCAGGTAGGCTGTGGTGTTGCAACGATGCTCAGTTGGTACCAAGGGGCCCAAAGAGTGCCAAGAAAAGATTCCCCACACCATGACACCACCACCACCAGCCTGAACCGTTGATACAAGGCAGGATGGATCCATGCTTTCATGTTGTTGACGCCAAATTCTGACCCTACCATCCGAATGTCGCAGCAGAAATCGAGACTCATCAGACCAGGCAACGTTTTTCCAATCTTCTCTTTGTCCAATTTCGATGAGCTTGTGCAAATTGTAGCCTCAGTTTCCTGTTCTTAGCTGAAAGGAGTGGCACCCGGTGTGGTCTTCTGCTGCTGAAGCCCATCTGCCTCAAAGTTCGACGTACTGTGCGTTCAGAGATGCTCTTCTGCCTACCTTGGTTGTAACGGGTGGTTATTTGAGTCACTGTTGCCTTTCTATCAGCTCGAACCAGTCTGCCCATTCTCCTCTGACCTCTGGCATCAACAAGGCATTTCTGCCCACAGGACTGCCGCTCACTGGATGTTTTTTCTTTTTCGGACCATTCTCTGTAAACCCTAGAGATGGTTGTGCGTGAAAATCCCAGTAGATCAGCAGTTTCTGAAATACTCAGACCAGCCCTTCTGGCACCAACAACCATGCCACGTTCAAAGGCACTCAAATCACCTTTCTTCCCCATACTGATGCTCGGTTTGAACTGCAGGAGATTGTCTTGACCATGTCTACATGCCTAAATGCACTGAGTTGCCGCCATGTGATTGGCTGATTAGAAATTAAGTGTTAACGAGCAGTTGGACAGGTGTACCTAATAAAGTGGCCGGTGAGTGTACGTAAAGTATAGTTTTTATGTTTTAAAATGTAACAAAATAAAAGTTACAATTTAAAAAGAAATATTTGGTAAAATTACAAATCCTCAAAAAAAGTTCCTGTTTTGCAAAGAAATAAATGTATTTTGTTACTATACTCTGCTAATAAACTTAGTAAAATGTAGAAATTTATTGGGTCCAGCACTTAAACCCAGTTTTACAGATTTCTGATGCCATAAGCTGCACACTATAAGTGCTCCACAAGTTAAAGAGGACGAGATGTTTAATATTTCAGAGGAGATGTTGGAGCAGTTGTTGGCTCATTACCGAACACTTGGAGAAATCACAGCGGGCTTCTTTTAGAACCTCTGAGGTTTAGCAGATCTGGTTGCAGGATTTCACACAGTCTGGACTGCCATTTGGTAACATTTATACGGCAATATGACGAGTTCTGCTGTGTAGGAGCAGGAGATGGCTGTTAACTATACGCAGCTTTTTCAAAGATGCTCAGCCCACTGAAGTCACAGCTGTTATATATAATAACAAACAAGCCTGTTTCATATTTTCAAAAGACAATTTTTAGTTCTTGTCAGACAGAACACAAAAGGTGCCACTGCTGGCAGACGGCATTGTGTCTTTTTCAACACGTTTTTTTTCTCTCCACCCTTTAATGCTATAAAATATATGTGCCATCTCTCAGTTTAACTGCACGGTGCGATAATTCTGCAACTGTGATGGTTTAAAAAAAAAGCTGACAGCATCAAAACTGCTTTAAATCTGCTTTTTGTCACGCAGAAAATGAAACATACGGAGCCCGCGAGGGAACATGGGGGGGATTTTTTTCTTTTGCGTTCCCACGCAAAACCTTTGCGTTACCTCGCAATACTTTTGCGTTACCTCGCAATACTTTTGCGTTACCTCGCAATACTTTTGCGTTACCTCGCAATATTGTTTTGTGTTCCCACGCAAAAAGTTTGATTTGTATATGAACTGAGTTAAACCAGACTTTTATTTTGAAATATCCGGTTACCAAAACAGGATGTGTCGCCACAAGTTCGTGAATTTGACATTGATGTTGCGTGGCTGCACTGTGTTAAAATATCGGCATATGACATACTTCCATGCGTGGCTGTGTGATATATTCATTCTAAAGCTGAATTAAAGCAGTAGGCTAACTCGCTAATGATAAACATGTGAGTTTGTTAATAAACCTGTAAGAAATACGTGTTTTAACATCGGCTGACAATCAGATGAAAACACAAGTGTTAAATAAACTGATCTGCGATAGAAAATAAATGTCATACAACTCCAGAATTCTGGATCTGAGTGAGGTTTATTTGTCACCGGACTGACAAGCCAAACCACACTGAATGAAAAACAGGAAGTTCCCGTTTAAATACAGTGCACATTCTTCAATGCCTGAGTTCGCCCTCTGCTGGCCTACGGCCGAATCACAGGCATTCAGACAAAAGACCTCACACTTATGTTAACACAGCGTTTAATTATGTGTTGTTAATAATTTGGACATGTATTTACTCTATTTCAGTTAACACATAATAGATCAAACATTATAAAAGTATTATAATAAGAAACCCCTACTACTTTGGTGTTGTTTCTGAAATCAGTACTGATCTGTAACAACTATAAATTTCTTCAAACCAACAGGCACAACAGTGATAAACGACTTTTGCGAGGGAACGCAAAAAGAAAAAAAAATCCCCCATGTCCCCTCGCGGACTCAGTAGAAACAAGATCCAGATGTGTCACAGATTATAAACCAATTAGAAAAGTGAGAGCAAATTAAGCATTAAACTCAAAACTGATGCATATGTTCTTTTTAGCTCTTTGACATTGACGGTGATGCCTCTTTTACACGTCTTGTCAGTGTCTCTGAGCCGTAGGATCTTACGTCTGTCAGCTGAGAGTGACAGCTAAATGGCAGGAAAAAAGAAGAATTTTAATGTAGTAAGTGTGTTGCTGGTGCACAGCGGCACACCGGTTTTACCGTTGAGGACTGAAAGCTACACCCAGAGACTTCTTTTATTCAAGAACCAAGCAAGGTGCTGCTTCTGTCACACCGAAGCAGCTTCCTCTTTCTTCCCTACACACAAAGAGCTTCAGATCTGAGCTTTAGGTGGCAGGAAAAAAGAAAAAGAAACTCTTGGAACCAATCTAATTATCTGATAATCTTGGAGGAGAAAAAAGTGCTTTTCTGAACTGAAGTGAGAGCACAGACACAGCAGAGCAACAGGCGTCACATCCAACATCCAAGCACAAAGAAAAAATGCTTTGATACAGAGTGTGTGTGTGTGTGTCGTGTATTTGCATCTGTTCTGGAATTTGTTTAGGTTATTTTGGTCCCACACAATATCAGGCTGTTTCACACTCCGAGCGAGCGGAACAACTCGACTGATAAACAACAAGACGAGCACGGCACGGCGCCGAATGTTAGAGTCATTCACCTCAGGTTAGCGGCAAAATTGGAGATGCAGTTAACCATCTCCGCATTCTGTTTGTCTGCACCCCACATGCTGTAGAGAAAAATGGAGGGGGGAGAGGGACAGAAACAAGAAGCAGTTACAAGCTGCTCCTTCATCCACAAGTTAGTCAGGCAGAACCAGACAGCTCAAATAAACAAGATTTTACTCTATTAACATCATGTTCTAGTTTGAAAACTAGCAGTTTTACAATAATATTTACAGCTGGAATCTGAAATTTACTACCTGGAATCTGCAAACAGATTTAGAACAAATCAATGGAAATGTTATGAAGTAATTTAGGTACAACTACAACTGTGAAAATGTTGGGACTTTGTGGAAAACGGAAACAGAATAGAATGATTTGCAAACCTCATAAACCTGTTTTATTTACAGAAATATTTGAAATATTTAAGCAAACAAATTGGAAAAGGTTGGGAAAACATCCGCAGATCATGATCTGGGATCAAGGCTCATCAAGTCATGTTCAAATGCTCAAGACGTGCAAAGAAAAGGTCTTTTCTGGAAACACTGGCATCATTTCTGAGCTCATTTAAAATGGACTGAGGTAAAGTGTAAAACTGTTCTACACTCAGACAAATCCAACATTTTAATTCTTTTTGGTAATCGTGAACGCTAACTAAAGAGGCGAGGGACTAATTATCAGCATACAGTTTAAAAGCCTGCCTCTCTGATGGTATGGGGGTGCATTTGTGCCCGTGATATGGACAGCTGACACATCAGGCAGCAATAATGCAGAAACATACACTCACCGGCCACTTTATTAGGTACACCACGCTAGTAACGGTTTTGTGGTCATAAAGGGATGGACATGGTCAGCAACAATACTCAGGTAGGCTGTGGCGTTGCAACGATGCTCAAATGGTACCAAGGGGCCCAAAGAGTGCCAAGAAAAGATTCCCCACACCACGACACCACCACCACCAGCAGCCTGAACCGTTGATACAAGGC